GCTGACCAACGATGCCCGCAGCGACCTTGTCTTTGAGAAGTGCACGGCTGCCTTTTTTTAAGCTAGGGTCTCACCTGGGTGATTCTGTTCCCCAGGGGACACTTAGCCATACCTGGGGACATCTGTGATTGTCACGACTGGGGGGTGGTCCTGGCATGGAGTGGGTGGAGGCCAGGGACGCTGCTCAGCACCTGCAGTGCCCAGGACGGNGCCACACTGGAGAGGGACAAGGGCTTTGGAGGGGACAAAACCTGGAAACCCAGAGGCTGGCGCTATCCTCTTCAGGCAAGAGGAAAAAGATAAGTCACAGGGGCAGGAATCAGGACAGGGACATCTGACGGCTGGTCCCACGTGCCTGAAGCCTGCAGTCCCCGGGTGCAGGGCTCGCGGCCAAGGCTGTCACCAGCAGGGGAATCCTGGCATTTCCTCCTTAATGTGCACGTTTCCTTAGGTGAGCCGAGGTGTCTCTTGGGGCTGGGGGCTCATCTGTGGACTTGACTTGTCCCCAAGTCCGTGGCCTGACCCCTGGGCCTCCCCCAAGCTCTCCTCCAAGGAAGTTAAAGAAAAGAAAAAAGCAAGAATCCCCCAAGTCCTAAAAAGCAACACAGGACACCTCTGTAATTCAGTGTTTCGGCCACCGTGGGGGAGGGGAGGCCAGGTCCTGCAGAGGTGGCGATGGAGATGCGTCCACTCACTAGAGCGCCTGCCGGCTGGGGCGGTGGGGGTGACAGGCAGCGGGGGCTCTGGGGGACCATGTCACTGTGTCTTGGCCTTCACGAGCAGCCTCTGAACTGTCTTGTAGAGGAGGTCGAAGTGCTGGGGACAGCGGGAGCTGGGTGAGCCCGGGGGACACTGGGAGGCCACCTGCAGAACCTGCTACTAGGCCGGGACTGGGGGCCTGGGGGAGAAGCTGCATCTGCCCCAGCCCACAGCCCTCTCCCCCAGGCACCTGCTCACCTGGACTGCTGTGTAGGCCATCCCGAGGTAGGCGCCGATGCAGACGGCCAGGAGCAGGTCAAAAATGGCGGGCTTGACCCTGGGGAAGACGTGGGGACCCGTGTGGTCAGGGTAGCGTGGGCCGCAGGGCCATCCCCCAGGGGTACAGGGGCTCCCGGTCCCATGCCTGCCACTCAACTCACCTGTAGGCGTTCATCACCTGCTTGAGCTGGTCATAGAAGACAAACTCGGGGTCCCTGGGGAGAGAGCACTTTCTCAGGGGGCTCGCCGCACATCCTGTCCCCACAGTCCCTTTGCAGAGACTGTGATGGGCAGGGCAGCTGCTGCCAGGAACTCCCACAGCTGTCAAGTATCCCTTTTGGGAAAGGACTGTCATCTATACTGAAGTGACCTCCCTGTTACTTTTTTGGATGTTAAACCTCTTTAAAAATGAAATAGGACGACTGTAGCAATTATACTAGACTGGGAAGGGCTTCTATCTACAGAGGGAGGGCAACCTCGGCGTGGGTATGAGGCCCTGGCTCCAGAGCTGTGGGTCCACTCTGAGCCTCGGTTTCTTCTTCTGTCCAAGATCTTTGTCTCCTGGACCAGCTGTGAGCACTGGTAAGTCAGGAGGAAGGCACTGAGCAGCCTCAGGGGACGTTTCCTGCCTGCAGACAGCTGTGGGCCCCTCTCCTACAAGGCCCAACATGCTTGCTCGGCCCAACTGGGGAGGAGCTCAGGAGCCCCAAACACCAAAAAGATAAAACCCAGGGGCCTGCAGAGGGGAGGAACATCCCGAGGGCATTCAGGGGATGCATAGAGCGTGAAAGGGCCACTGACAGCGGGTGGGGGTGCAGGGCTGCCAGATGAAACACAGGACGTCCACAACCTGTGAATTTCGATAAACAACAAATACGTCTTAAGCATAAGTACATCCCAAATACCGCATGGGACACTTACACTGATAACGACGTGTCACTTATCTGAAACTCAAATGGAACGGGCACCCATACTTTCCAGTTATTGTTCTATTTTTTGTCCTGATTTTTATTTGCTCCATCTGGCACCCCAGGGGTGGAGTGGGGCGAGAAGATTCTAGAAGACCCAGTGCAGGCGAGTCCCGTCTGCCATAGTGAACCCGGGACTGGAAGGGGACCACACGCAGTGCACTGGGGATGGGGGGGGGCCCGGACCCACCGCTTGTCGGCCTTGACGTGGTGCTGCTTCACGTCCTTCAGGTAGCGGCTCAGGTAGTGGCCCAGCGTGCTGAGGAACGTGCCGTCCTTGTCCAGCAGCTGCGCGGCCCGCGGCTGGTAGGTGAGCCAGTCCATCACCGAGTCCAGCTGCTCCTGCTGGATCTGCTGCAGGGACGGCGGCCACGCTCACAGGCCAGTCTCCACCCGCCTTCCCAGACACCCCTCCCTCCTGCCCACCCGACCCCTTACCATCTGCTCTGTGAACACCGGCATATCCGGGGGCGTCCCCTGCAGAGAGACGAGGGGACACGGCCCTGAGCCCAGGCCCGCCAAAGGGCTGGGGGACTCACGGCCACGGCAGGGCCTACCTTCTCCGTCAGGTTGTAGATGACCCGGGTCAGGGCCTCTGCGATGATCCTCGTGTTCCGGGTCAGGGTCTTAGAATCAACCCGGGACCTTCAAGATTAAAAAATATTTTTTTTTAGGGAATCAGCATTATGTACAACAATCAAAAAGCAAAGAACCTTCTGAATCTCTAATAATAAAAACAGGAAAAGCAACATCTCTCCTGGGCACGGGCAGGCGCCTCTCCACGCCTCGGGTTCTTTTAAAGGCCCCGGTGTCCCTCCTCACGGGCTGCCCAGCGCCCTGGCTGGGTCATCTGTGCAGCATGAAGGAGCCGGCCTGGCATGCTGTTCCCCTGCCCTGCATCCACCTTCAACGACGGGGATGCCCTGCGCCCCGGTTTTCCACCTGGAAAATGGGGTAACCATGGCACCCGCCTCCCAGGGTTGCTGAGGGCCCAGTAGCTGGAACCCTCCATAGTGGAGTGAGTGGTGTCCCCCTACCCCAAACTCATGTCCACCTGGAATCTCAGAATGGAACCCTCCTTGGAAAGAGGGGCTTTGCTGACATAATTACAATGAGGTCATACTGGACGGGGGTGGACCCTAAGTACAATGACAGGTGTCCTTGTAAGAGGGAAGTTTGGACACAGACACAGAGAAGCCACGAGAAGGTGGAGGCAGAGACTACAGGTATGACCACAAGCCGAGGGACGCCTGGAGTCCCAGAAGCTGGAAGAGGCAAGAGGGACCCTTCCCCAGAGCCTCAGCAGGCAGCTTGGCCCTGGCTCAGCTGGACCTCAGACTTCCGGCCTCCAGATGGACAGAGAATCATTTCCTATTGTTTGAAGTCCCCTAGTCAATGGAGCTTTGTTGTGGCAGCCCCAGGACACAACACTGAGGGCTGTGCCCCCAGGCCTCCGGCCGGCCTCTTACAGGCACATGGCACCATTACTGTCCCTGTCTAGCAGACAGGGCACCAGAGCTTCCACAGGCAGAGCATCTTGCTCGACGCCCCCCACTTGGGTGAGGGCTACGCTGGATGGGCACCCCCGCCCCCATCCCTCATGTGTCACCGGCCACTTGCCCACTGCTGGTGGGGCCCACTGGAGCCAACCACGTCTACTTCTGACCCTGCCCCCTAAGAAAAGTACTGAAGGCGGCTCGTCCCCAGACCTCACCGCACGTCCATGATACTGCTGCGCTGGCTGTCGCGGTGGCTCTCCAGGTGGGACAGAGTGAAGGCGGGCAGCCGGCGGATGGCAAAGCGCTCATGCTCCCAGGCCAGCGCGTCCTCAGCCAGGTTGATCTTCTTGTGCACCATGGAGAACCGCACCTCAGGGAACTGGTGGGCGGCCACCTGCAGCCGAATACAGTCAGGACCCAGGGGGCAGGGGTCTGTCCACCCACCCTGAAGTTCCAGCTGAGCTCCCTGCAAGATTCTGTAGAGCTGGCCCCTCCAGACCCCGGCTCATTCCCCAAACACTCCCACAGGGCCTTTAGGACCAGGTGTTTCACCGCAAATGCCTGGGGGCCTCCCAGAAAGCAGGGGAACCCACCTGCCCCCTGGAAGTCCACTCTGAGGCTTGCTCAAGGACCCTGAGTTTGTAGAGCGCCCGGTGCAGACCCTCAGAGCCTCGGGGGCCCATCTGCAGAGTGGGCACATGCCTAGTCCCCCTGCTCGGCCTCAGGGACACCCACCGTCTCAAGCTCCCTCAGGAAGGCATGCTGCAGGGTCCCCTCCCGGGGCGGCTTGGACACGTGCAGGTGCAGGCTGCTCCCCCGGCCCACGGTGTCCAGGCACAGGACGAAGGCTACATTGTCCTGCAGCAGGCTGGAGTCTGCAGGACATCGAGAGCTGTTGGCGGAGCAGCCAGAACGGGGAGGTGGCCCCACCCCTCGGTGCCCCCCAACCCCTCACTCACCAGCCCCACGGGCCGCAAACCTGTGTGGTCGAGGTTGTCTTCCAGCCAGCGCTTCGTGCCCTGGTAGTTAAACTTGCCCCCTCCGGAAGCAAAGAACAGCAGGTTGTACCTGGCGGGGGGGGAGGACCGGGGCATTAGCTTTGACAGATGAGCGTCCTGGGATGAAGGAGAGACAAGGGCCAGGTCGTAGGTCCACAAAGAGGGGCACAGCAAGCTCAGAAACAGTCTCCTCAAAAGTACAAAGTTGTGACCAGTCCCTCAGGGTGGGGTCTCTCCCCTCAGCACTGTGTACACTGTGGACGGGTCACTCTCTGTGTTGGGGCTGTCCTGGGCACTGCAGGTGCTGAGCAGTGTCCCTGGCCTCCACCCACTCTGTGCCAGGAGCTCCCCCAGTCGTGACAACCCCAGATGTCTCCAGACACGGCCCAGTGTGCACTGGGGTCAGGATCCTCCTGGTGAGACCCCTGCTCTAGAGGCTTTTCAGAGTTCTCTGGAAACCAGGAGGAAGCGATCAGGAAACAGACACCAGGAAGATAAATGGGAACCCTCTCTACAAAAACTGGAAGGACCTCAACGCCACCTCCCCCGACAGGACTGAAGCCAGGGCTGTCCTGAAGGGTCCCAAGCCTGCCTGGCCCCTGAGTCCTCCCAGCCTGCCAGGGCAACAGCCTGCTTTTCTGACGGCCCTGCCATTTCTGCAGCAGCTGGACGTGGTCATGGGTGCACAGGAGCTCGTGATAGGGGCTCAGGAGCCTCGGCCGCCCTGCCTGCAGCCCTCCAGCAAGGCCCCACCATGCGGGCTCCTCGCCGGCTCCAGACGTCACTCCTCCCTCAGAGTCCCCCCTGCTTGACATCTGACGTTGTACTGGGGTGAACGGTGCCCCCCCCAAATCACGTCCACTCGGAACCTCTAAGAAGGTGACGTTCCTTGGAAATGGTCTTTGCAGATGTCATTAGTTAGGATGAGATGGTACTGGAGCAGTGTGGGCCCTAGATCCAGTGAGTGTGTCCTCAGAAGAGGAGAGGCGACACAGGGACACACCAGGGAGAAGGTCACATGAAGATGGGGGCAGAGACTGGAGAGACACGGCCACAGCCAAGGGATGCCTGGGGCCCCCAGAAGCTAGAAGAGGCAGGAAGGACCCTCCCCTGGAGCCTCTGGAGAGAGTGCGGCCCTGCCACACCTGCAGTTTAGACTTCTGGACCCCGGGCTGCAGGAGAACGTACTTCTGCTGTTTTAGGCCAGGACACTGACATGCCCACTGAGCTCCTTTCTGCCCCGGGGACATTGCCCAGGCTGTCCCTGCCCCCTGCTTCTTTCCCACGACAACTTCGGCTGTTCCTCAGGCTGCAGGTCACCGACCCCTCCTCACACAGGTGGCCCCCACAGTGTCCTCTCACACTTTGTCCCGCTCTTGCCCGCAGCCTGGACACCCTGCTCCACCTCATCTTGCTGGGACCACCCCACACCCTGCCCAATGCATGCTCTGCCAGGGTGGGTGCCTTGTGGTCACCCTTGCACAGCGTCTGCAGGGACAGGCCTGGTATGGGCAGGCCACAGGGCATGAGTGAGTGACAGGAGGGAGCTCCTCAGAGCTGGCCCCTGCCCCTGCCCCCAAGGGGTTGAGGGTGTGAGACTGGCATGACGTGAACAGCCCCAACAGGACTGCGCAGGGGCGACCACAGGGCAGCCTGACCGGGGGATGTCACATTGTGCTGAGTGAGACCTCAGGCCACGGGCAGACGTGGGGAACACACACACGACATCGCTGAGAGAAAACAGCCCACGTGGAAAGCCTGCACACTGCGTGAGTCCAGCTGCAGAACACTCTGGAAGAGGCTACGCTGTGCAGACGGGAACGGACCCCTGGTCACCAGCGGCGGGGTTTGGAGGAACAGGCGGGGCACCGGGGACTTTTAGGGCAGTGAAACTTCTCTGCATGATCCTACAACAGTGGGCACATGTCAGTACATGTTTGTCCAAAGCCACAGGATGTCCCACACCCGGAGT